AAGAGCCCGGGCTGCCCGTCGGCCGATGGTCCCTGTACGCTGTCGGCAGGCGCTCCGCGGGGTTGTCCTGGCGCGATGTGCTGATGTCTCGTGGCCGGGCAGGATGGCTGGTTCCAGAGAGCAGCTTGGCCCGGGGACAGCCAGCAAAGCCCCAGCGCCCGCCCTTGGGATGGGACGGGAACCAGTTCATGTCCGCGGGCGGCAGCGCGATGCCGGAGCGCGAGGGGCCGGGCAGGGGGAGTGCGGGGAAGTCAGAGCTTGGTGCCGGCTGTGTGAGCACGGCTGACGTCAAAGTGTTTTTTTCTGTGCACACCTGGAGCACATCTGGCACCGGCTGCGGCATGGGCAGGGGCTGCGGGAGTGGGGTTGTGGTGTTGTCCCTGGGTTTGGAGCCTGCAGGATGGGGCTGGGGGTAGAAGCTGCTGGAAATACCCTTTTCCTCCCTCCTGACAGCTTCAGCAGAGAATAATCTGAAGCAGCGTGTTTCTTTAAATGCTCTAATTTCTCTAAAACTCTGAGCTCCAAGCTTTCTGGTTTTAATTTCCACCAGAAGCTTGTGGTGGGACTTTGGGAGAAATGCACAGGGCTGTGTCCCCATGCGTCCCCATCTCTGAACGCTCAAAGCTGGCACACTTTTCTGAGGAGGACCCTGGGTATCGCAGCTGTGTATCAGAGCCCTGACAAGCCCCAGTGTGGTTTTGTTCTGGGTGTTTCCCTGGTGCCCATCACAGCTTGGTCACAAAGACCTGACCCTCTGCAGGGGAGAGTAGAAAAGAGGCGGAATAATTCCCAGTTTGCAAAGGTGTTGTGGTTTTGACCCTGGCTAGCAAAACAAATACCACAACGGTCTGAAACCAGGACAAAAAAGAAAAGCAAATAGTACCCAGTGAGAGATGAGGACCAGGCTTTCCATCTACGTGGGACAAATTCAGGAGCAGGGAGGGGTGTGAGATGCGGGCAGGTTTGTCAGTCCCACCCGAAGCAGCTTGCCACCTCCCTCCTCCATGCTCCTGGCTTGGCTGAGCTTGGGGAGGGGCCACCAAGGCTGCTGTGCCCCCAGGGACACCTGCTGAGGAAGGCTGTGGATGTGCCAAGGATGTAGTGGTCTCTTCATGTGTGAAAGGGTTCATGAAGCACCTAAGGAATCAGGGTTAGCATCATGTTGTGCTTTCCACACCTGTAACCCAAACAGCCGTGCTCTTTGATAGCAGCGTGTTCTGCCTTTGCCACCCTCTGCACCAGCCTCTTCTTGTCCTCGCCTGTTTTGGGGACAGCAGTGTCACCCCACCTCCTCTCCTTGGCCACCGTGCGTGGGGACTCTAAGGATGGAGATCTTCAGCAAAAGCCCATTTGTGGGATCTCTCTTTTTCCGTCCTTTCTTGCCTGCGTGCTGCTCTTCAGAGGTTGCTACAGCCTGGTTTTAGACACGCTGTAGGGTGGAAGTCTGTCCCTCTGACAGTGGGGGACCTTCAGGGGAGCCTCTGTCAGCAGGACTCTCCTACCATCTCAACCTAGCTGCTTGTGCTGAGCAAGAGTGCATCTTACTGGTTTCACTAATAATTGTGTTAACCATTGTACTGGGCAAAGTTAGTGAAAAGGAAAATCCTTGAGACAGAAAACTCTGCTTTTGTGCTAGATAACTCTTGAAGGACTAATGATAGCTAAGTGAAAACAAGCTGGTTTTATGAAAAGCCTTGTCTCTAAAAATACTAATACCAGTGATCTGATTTTCCAAGATCTATTTGAATGCATCTCCCTTTTCTGCAGGATGTTTTTTCTTGGATTTTCTGCTTTAAAGTTTCCCCTGGACAGCTGTCTTCTCAATAGGCTCGGTCCAGTCCCTCCGGCCATTTCTACCAACCTTGTGCCTTTGTGTTTGAGGTGCAAGACTTGAGTGATGAAGGGGCTTAGGGCAGAAAGCTGAGACTAGGAAGACCTTCAGTGCAGTCCTGTCCTGCTGGGTGCTAATCTTGGCCATTGGTCAGTGCTGCAGAAGTGAGAGCTGATGATTCCCCCCGCTGGATTTTTTTAATTTCCCCACTGTGTTTCTCAGTGTAGTACAGACCTCCTGCAGCTTGTCCTTGGTTGGTGCAATCACACCCTGAGCTCAAGTATAGATAGAAATCATCGAGTCATGGAACAGTTTGGGTTGGAAGGAACATTAAAGATCATCTAGTTCCATTCCCCCTGCCATGGGCAGGGACACCTCCCACTAGCCCAGGTTGCCCAAAGCCTCATCCAGCCTGGCCTTGAACCCCTCCAGGGATGGGGCATCCACAGCTTCTCTGGGCACCCTGGGCCACTGCCTCACCCCCCGCACAGGAAAACATTTCTTCCTCACATCTCATCTCAATCTCCCCTCTTTCAGCTTCAAACCGTTCCCCCTGGTCCTGTCCCTGCACCCCCTGATCCAGAGCCCCCCCATCTCTCCTGTAGCCCCCTTTCAGCACTGGGAGGTGCTGGAAGGTCTCCCCGGAGCCTTCTCTTCTCCAGGCTGCACACCCCCAACTCTCTGCCTGTCCTCACACGGGAGCTTCTCCAGCTCTCTGATAGGCACAAAGGCTGGAAACGATGGACATCACCTGTATTTCTTGCCTGGGTTGTTTGGAACTTGACTCAGAGTAGCTCCCTGGTGTGGCACTGCTGTCCCATGGTGCTGTGACCCTCCGTGGCCAGAGCAAAGCCATCGCTGATCGCACCCATGGCCTTTGGCTCCAAAGAGCATCCTTGGTGGCATCGAAGGCATACTTTGTACTAGCCCTTCCCAGAGAGGGAAGAAGCCAGGATGTAACCGGCTGCACTCTCACAGTGTCTGTTTCTTGGATTGCAGAGCACGCCCTGCCCTCGGCCAACGTGGGTCTGCCCGGCCACCTCATCCCGTGCCACCGCCCGTGGCCTGCCTACACCACGCACACGGCTCCCATCGTCAAGATGCTCATTGAGCAGGATGAGCAGAGAAAGGCTGTGTCCACCCGCCCGGCAGAGCCAGAGCCAAACCAAGAGCCTCAAGAGGCTGGTTCTGAGGAGGAAACCCCAGTGCTGTTGGAGCTGAGCAGTGGTAGCAGCACCCCTGGGACGGGGAAGGACTCTCTAAGAATGTCCATGGCTGAGAGTTTGCCACCACCAAACGTTTGCAACAGGGTTATTTTTGCAAGAAAACCTCCCTCGTGTGGGCAGCTGTGTAGTTCCTTGGCACATTCCAGCAAGAAGAAATGATCTGTCTGCACCTAGAAACAAGGAAAAGAAGAAGATGCTCTCAAGTGTTTTGCAGAGTGCATTAAACTACAAATGCAAATAGCATTTAATTTTTTGTCTCTTTTCCTAAAAGCCTCATTTGAATGAAAGCGACCAAGCACAAAAGGGGGTGGTATTGCATTTTGCACTTGTCTGCTCTCAGGTCTGGCGAAAACTCTAACCTCTGCCTGGTGCACTTGCTTCACATGCATTGCTCGCTTTCTGCTGCTTTGCTTCTGGGAAGCGCCCCGCGAAGGGCGCAGTGCAGAGGCATGGTATGGGGACACGGATGCCTGCCCGCCCACGCAGCCCAGCACACACAGCGCCCGGTTCTTTGCTCTCCTGCATCTTGTGACCCCTCTGGCATCGGTGCTGAGTGCCAGCAGCTGCCACATGGCTGAGGGTGGTGGCCTCTGGGGACACTGTGTGCATCTCGAGATGCTGGGTGGCTGGAGGAAAAACGCGCTGGGAATCGGTGTCCCCTCTCCTTGGATGTGTATGATGCTGAAGGGCCACGGGCTGGAAGGGAGAGGAGTTGACAGGGGATGTTGGCTTGGGCTTTTGTCCCTTTTCCGGCCGTCCTTAGGGTGTGAGGTCTGTTGAAGTTACATTTACCAGGCTCTGTGCACATATAGATCTGTGCGTGTGACACTTCTGTGCACAGAAGTTGAAAGAAAAGCAGCACAGCAGCAAAGCGGAACAGGCAGCTGCTAGATGAGCTGCTGCTCCTGTCCCACTTCTACAGAGAGCAGAGATGCTAAGGTCAAAATTGCTGGGGTAGATGTGATTTTTATTAATTTTATTTATTTTTTTTTTTAAAACCTTAGCCTTATGTGATACTGGGCAGCATATACTTGGGGTCCCCACTGGTGTGTGCCAGCCCGGACCCTGGGTGCTGGGGAATATTGCCAGATTTTTTAAGAACCATTTGCAAAGGCAATATTTTAAATTTTCTAGGACCATCTCTGGCCACCTTCTTTCATTCTGACCTTCCAGCATGTGCGACAGAGCCTGCAGGCACCTCTGATGGTGTGTCCATCCTGCTGCGAAGGGTGCAGCCTGCACCATGAGCGAGCAGCGTTCAGATCGAGCACAGTGCCCAGGCACTGCTCCAAGGCTACTCCAGCCCGTGGACCAGAGAGGTGGCTTCTCCTCCAGCACGAGCACCAGCGAGGAGAGCACCCGAAAGGGAGCAGGAGGCTCTGGAGAGGGGACATGGAGGGCACCCAGTTTAGCCACGTGTGCTGGTGCCCCTGGGATGCTGCTGGTAGGGCTGTGCTGGGGATGTGGCCACATATTCCTCTGGATTTCCAACTCTGGAAATATGATTGGGGAATTTTTGCCGTGAAGGCAGCAAAAAACACCCCTTCTAATTCCATATCCCATTTCTGCAGGGACTGAACTGGTGTCAGATCATTTCAACACCTAATGCATTTGAAACAAAAATATTTTTCCTTGTGATGGTGGGGGAAAAAAAAAGTCAATTTTTTTTTTTTTTTCCCCATCAAAATTAAATTTGCTTGAGGAAGCTATTTGCCCTGGAAAGCTTTGCTAAAGTGATAAACAACTTACCTAATAATCAGGAGTATTTGCTGCTGTGTCTAGTGAGCTGCTCCCAACAGGATTTTGGCTGGGATGGGGCCAGTGCCACCCGTCAGCTGGATGCTTTGGGAAACAGCGTTGGGCCTCTGCAGGGGGAAAAAAATGCGAAGAATTAGAAAATGCAACAAAAAAGAGAAATTACTGCTTTCTGTGGATGTATAAATAAATTTGTTCCTATTTTGAGCCCCCCGGGTACGTCTCGCCCCCCGTGCCAGCGCACACACGGACGCAGCGTGTCACG